AATTAAAAGCTTATATACCTTAACTGAGTGCAGTGGCTCATGCCTGTAATCCCAACACTTTGGGAGGCTGAGGTGGGAGCACTGCTTGAGCCCAGGATTTTGAGACCAGCCCAGTTAACACAGCAAGACTCTGTATCTACAAAAAATTTAAAAATTAGCCAGGCATGGTAGCTAGCTAGTCCCAGCTACCTGGGAGGCTGAGGCAGAAAGATCGCTTGAGCCCAAGAGTTCAAGGTTGCAATGAACTATAATCATGCCACTGCACTCCAGCCTGGGTAACAGTGAAACCCTATCTCAAAAAAAGCTTGCTTGCACCCTGGCTAACAAATGAGTTCTCACTCACAGCATCCAAACTAATATGCTCTGAAAACCTGCTTACATTGAATACAATAATTGCTTTGGTAGTCTACCTGCCTAAAAGTCAGTTGTCCAATCTTTTTTTTTTTTTTTGAGATGGAGTTTCACTCTTGTTGCCCAGGCTGGAGTGCAATGGTGCAATCTCGGCTCACCGCAGCCTTTGCCTCCCAGGTTCAAGTGATTCTCCTGCCTCAGCCTCCTGAGTAGCTGGGATTATAGGCATGCACCACCACACCCGGCTAATTTTATATTTTTAGTAGAGACGGGGTTTTTCTGTGTTGGTCAGACTGGTCTCAAACTCCTGACTTCAGGTAATCTACCTGCCTCGGCGACCCAAAGTGCTGAAAGTACAGGTGTGAGCCACTGCACCCGGCCTTTTTTTTTTTTTCTTTTAATAGAGACGGAGTTTTGCCCAGGCTGGCCTTGAACTCCTTGCCTCAAGCAATCCTCCGGCCTGAGCGTCCCAAAGTGCTTGGATTACAGGCTTGAGCCACCAAGCCTGGCCATCATTTTCAAAGTCTGTTGTCCTTCAATAAATTAACATTCTAATGGAAAGAAGAAAAAGAAAGAAATGGAGAGGAAAGCCCTAGGGAAGGCTAACACAAAATTCAGTCTAATGGTTCTCTGGGGTAGAAGCCGGGGGATGGGCAAGGGAATGAACCCACAGCAGACACAGAAGTTAGCCAATGGTTTTATTAGTGTTTACTGTTATTCTTTGTAAAAGGTATGATATATTTTCTATATGTACCAAACTCCTAAAACAAGGTGGATTAGGGCAAACATGGAATATGGCCATATAATTGAGAGAATCATACTATACTTTTTATACAGCAGTCAAGTCACTAAAAATGGTTTATCAGGTTAGGTTTACCAGGAATCCTAGATGACACAACTGGGCATGAGAATATGATGAACCACCGTCCTCTCCCTGGTAGTAGAGGTCATTACTGGCCTTTCACATTCAAGCCATCTCCCAGCTGTGACTCTGGGCTTGCTGTACTGTAGTGTAGGTAGTGCTTTAATGAGATGTGAGTAGTTAATGGTTCTTCTTTACTGAATTGGTTCTAACATAAGTGGACTAAAATTAGGAGAAAAATCTCTAGAAAAAATTAGGAGATATGTTTATGGCAGAGATCATTAACTTGAGGATACCCTGTGGCCTTAAGCATCAGCTTTATTCTCGTGCAATAGTTAGAAACTATTCTGAAACTTAGTCTTTAGTATGTAGATATTTTCTTGCTTGAAATGATGTTAGATGTGGTTACACAAGCATGGAATGGTGTCTGCTTTTTCTACCAGGCTGATCCAAACTTACACTGGGTCAAATTGCCAAATCACTCAACAGACTGAGCCTCTGATTTAGCTCAAGTCTGGGATTGCCTTATGCTGTGTAGGTTCACTTTCTCATGGAAGGAGCAACTGTTTCTAGCAGCTGAATGGAAGAGCAGCATCTTCATCATAGAGTAGCGTAAAACCTGTTGCCCAGAGTCCTCATGAAGGTCCAGTCCTCGCAATTTAGTGGAGCCAAGCGAGGGAGGAGCATATTTCTGTTCATTGAGAAATGCGTAGTCAATCCGGAATTTCCACCACCCTAGCAAAAAGTTTATAGTCTAGTAGCTGGCAGAAATATAACCTGCATAATTATCCTGGCTTAAATGATCTTGCAATAGAGAATGTGTCCATAATTTAATTTGAATTCTGCAAAAAAGTAAATAAGGTTATCATTAGTTGCCTAAAAACAAAGTTGCCGAAAACAATTCGGGCTTCACTGAAAAGCATCCTGATTGATCCTTGAATTGTTTTAAGAAATATTTCATGGACTAGATTCATCGAGTGAGTGTTTTAGGAGGAAATAATTTTCCCACAAGTGTTGTCCTGCAGTGACTTGGGAAGTACTCAAGCAGAGACAGAACTATAAAAATTCTTTGCAAAGACAGTTATTGGAATATTGTGCAGCTGATCAAGGACAAGCTGTGTCAGAAAAAGAGATCTGAAAAGTACATTTTAAAAGGCACTGAAACCAATAGTAAAAATTCATATTGACTTTATTGACTGCTGAAGTTCAGTCTCATTCATCTTCCAGCCTTCTCTGATACTGTCTTTCTGAGGCTTTTCTACGGTAGACATCATCTGTATCAAACAAAAAGTTGCTTAGATTTTTAAGAAACATATTTAAAATTAAAACAATCTGAGTAATTTAACCAACAGTCTAGGTCTGTCACCTACTTCTGAATCTTGGCACTAATATTTAACTCAATGCCAAAATAAACTTAAAACTTGAGTTAGATGAGGACTATGATAATGGAGTTCTAGTCTTAGAGTAAAAGTCAGTGTCTTGAAAGATAGAATCACGTCTTAGCACATCTCTTAGTGTTTTAAGCTTTCCCTCACTTCCTTCTCCCCCATAATTTCTATTCTGTGCTCTGAAGTCATCCTTCTTAACTAAAACCTGGCTCCTCAAGGGCACTTCTTGCCTCTTGGCTCTCTGATGCTCCCTCTCCCATACCCAGAAACCTTCAGGTGGGGAGAGGAGATCAGTTTCCTTGTTCCAGCTGCTGCTTTGCCAGACCTTTGATTCTCCACCTTCATGTAAAGAATCTTCTTCCAGGCCGGGCACAGTGGCTCATGCCTATAATCCCAGCACTTCAGGAGGCCGAAGGTCAGGAGTTTGAGACCAGCCTGGCCAATATGGTGAAACCCCGTCGCTACTAAAAATACAAAAATTAGCCGGGTGTGGTGGCAGGCACCTATAGTCCCAGCTACTCGGGAGGCTGAGGCAGGAGAGTCGCTTGAACCCAAGAGGCAGAGGTTGCAGTGAGCCAAGATCGTGCCCCCACACTCCAGCCTGGGCGACAGAGCAAGACTCTCTCTCAAAAAAAAAAAAAAATCTTCCTTCATGGCTCATGCCATTTGTCTACCAACATCTTTCTTTGGCACCTGCTCTCCATCATGCCCCTTCAGTCACCAAAAGTGCTGGCCTCTAGCTCAGGTTCCTTGCCCCTGTCCTGTGCCTTCTCCCCAGATACCACTCTTACCCATGGGGATGAAGCTTACCCAGCCCCCTTCACCTTCAACATCTTCCAGTCATTTGCAGGGCTCCTCTGAAGGATTTCTGTTCATACCACAACCCCCATTACCTTTCCAGCCCTCCTGTCCTTGGACCTCAGGTTTCTTCCCCAGGCCTTCCGCCTCTGTCTTCCCCACTCAGCTGCCTCTTGTTCTCTCTCCTGGCAAATCAGCTAAAATTCTTTCATACTCTTGTCAGTATCTTAACTTCCTGACACAACCTCAAAACCCCAACCACTGATTAATCCAACTTCCTCCCTTCCCCATGCTTCACCCTGCTTGCTGTGCACTGAGGGGCCAATTGATGCCTCTAACTGGGTCCATTGAGGTGTCTGACAATCCTGTTTCCTCAGCCATGATCCTGACTCTTCTTCACCCACCCTGTAATGGCCATTTCCTCTATTCCTTCACAGAGGAAAGTCATCATAAGGAACTCTTCCAGCTAACTTCCAAGGGCTTACTCCTGTCACCCAGCTCTGGTCCCACCCTCTCCCACCCTCAAGGGTCCAGTATCTCCAGCCTCTCTCCACCCTCTCCTTCTAGATCATTATTTGTATATCCTGCAGTCTCTCCTAGAGGAAGGGGGTTACCTCCCCTTCACAGAGCCGGACTTCTTTAACCTCTTTTCTTTTGTGATAACAAATCTTCCTGGTTTCCTTCCTTGCCTCTCTGGCCATTCTCAGTTACCCTTAAAATGTTGGGGTTTGGGCCAGGCACAGTGCTCACACCTGTAATCCCAGCACTTTGGGAGGCCAAGGTGGGCAGATCACCTGAGGTCAGGAGTTCAAGACCAGCCCGACCAACATGGAGACACCCCATCTCTACTAAAAATACAAAATTAGCCGGGTGTGGTGGCGCATACCTGTAATCCCAGCTACTCCAGTGGCTGAGGCAAGAGAATCGCTTGACCCTGGGAGGCAGAGGTTGCGGTGAGCCGAGATCGCACCATTGCACTCCAGCCTGGGCAACAAGAGCAAAACTCGGTCTCAAAAAATAAATTAATTAAATTAAAATTAAAATGTTAGGGTTTGGCTGGGCGTGGTGGCTCAAGCCTGTAATCCCAGCACTTTGGGGGGCCGAGATGGGCGGATCATGAGGTCAGGAGATCGAGACCATCCTGGCTAACCCGGTGAAACCCCGTCTCTACTAAAAAATACAAAAAACTAGCCGGGCGAGGT